GCGATTCGGAGCACTTTGGGCTGGATTCGGGGATTTTGGTCCCGTACCTGATCTCGAAGTCGATGTTGGCCTCGAAGGGCGGCGCCGGCTGCACGCCCAGCGCGCCCCAGCGCAGCCCCCGCTCCAGCAGCCGCCGCGCCGGGGCCACCAGGCGGGGCAGGGAGACCCCCACCCTGACAAAGAGCGCCTGGAGACCCCCCTGGAACCCCAAAATACCTGCGGGGGGCAAAGGGCACCGTCACCCCAAAAAAAACCCCGAAAAAATCCGAAATCGGGCAAGAAACCCACGGAGCTTTGGGGGAACGAACCCAAAAACGATCCCAGCCCCTCCCCCACCCGCCTGGGACCCCCCCCCGGACCCCAAAATATCGGGGGGGGGCAAAGGGGAAGGGTCGCCCCGAAAAATCCCAAATTCTCCCCGAAATTCGGCAAAGGTTCGTCAAGAATCGACCAAAAACAGCCCCGAAATTGGCTGAAAATGCACCAAAATTGTCCCTGAAACTCAACAAAAATTCACCCGAAAATGCCCAAAAAATATCCCCCAAAATTCACCCAAAAATATCCCCCAAAATGCCCCCAAAATATCCCCCAAAATGCCCCAAAAATATCCCCCAAAACTCACCCAAAATGCCCCAAAAATATCCCCCAAAATACCAAAAATATCCCCCAAAATTCACCCAAAATACCCCAAAAATATCCCCCAAAATGCCCCCAAAATATCCCCCAAAATTCACCCAAAAATATCCCCCAAAATGCCTCAAAAATATCCCCCAAAATCCACCCAAAATGCCCCAAAAATATCCCCCCAAATTCCAGAAATATCCCTTTTTGAGGAATATTTTTGAGGCAGTTTTGGGGCTTTTTTTTGGGGGGGTAATTTTGGTTCATTTTGGGGCTGTTTTGGGGTTGATTTTGGGGGAATTTTTGGTGTAAATTTGGATGATTTTGGGGCTGTTTTGGGGTTGATTTTGGGGCAATTTTTTTTGGATAATTTTGGTTGATTCTGGGGCTGTTTTGGGGCTGATTTGGGGGGAATTTTTGGTGTAATTTTGGTTGATTTTTGGGGCATTTTTGGAGTTTTTTGGGGCTGTTTGGGGGTTGATTTTGGGGCATTGTTTTGGGATAATTTTGGTTGATTTTGGAGCTGTTTTGGGGTTGATTTTGGGGGAATTTTTGGTGTAATTTTGGTTGATTTTGGGGCTGTTTTGGGGTTGATTTTGGTTGATTTTGGGGCTGTTTCGGGGTTGGTTTTGGGGCTGTTTTGGGGTTGATTTTGGGGCTGTTTCGGGGTTGATTTTGGGGCTGTTTTGGGGTTGATTTTGGGGCTGTTTTGGGGTTGATTTTGGGGCTGTTTCGGGGTTGATTTTGGGGC